CACCCACCCACCCCCACACCCCCACCCACCCACATATACGCACACGCATAGACGGGCACATAACTCTGCGGCTCTATCGCGGCGCAGATGTATGCGCGTGGACTGCCGGGCCCGCGGTGAGGGCTCTGCTGCGATCAGAGTCCCCGTGATGTGCATGGAATCGACATCGCTTCAGTCTTACGCAAGGTGCTTTTGCAGCGCCTCGTCGGTAGGTGGGACCACTTCAGCGCCCTTTCCCAGATGCGATCGACCGCTCTGACTCTGTATGCCCTCAGGCGGATTCTATCGCCAATCTTGACGGCCTGATCCTGTCCGCGCTCGACGCCGTTCGATTTCGACCTTTGATTACAATCATTCGGCGAACGGTCAAGATGACTGCCGTTTGCTCCTCTCTGTGTCTTCGGATGAGCGCAGTGCTGTGGCTTGCGACAAGCTTCACGCTGCATTGTGTCTCTTCTGCACCTCCATCGAGCACGCGCGATGGAAGCCATGACATAGCGGTCGAGTCAAAGAGCGGTAGGCCTCGGGCGCAAGCGACCCGGCATAGCAATGCGATCAACTTCCACGAGAGCCAGGTGGAGGAACTCCTCGCCGCAGGGAAGGAACTCCCTGACTCCGTCGCCGAGCTGTACTGGCGAGACCTCGAGCCATCGCCAAGAGGTGCGACCAACTTGCAAGGGCGACGGCGCACTAAGTTGATGAAACCAGCGCAGCAAAGCACTGGTGCGATCAACTCCCGCGAGACTGCGCTTCAGCGGATCGTCCGCGAGCGTCACAGCGGTCTTTCTGCGCCTCCGTCGGGCAACCGCCATGGAAGACATGACATCTCGTCGGAAGTTTCTAGGAGTGGTACGCATCGGGCGCATCGGGCGCAAGGCGGCGGCCGGGACAGGAATTTGCGCGGGATCAACGAGAGTGAGGTAGAGGATATCCTCAAGCTGGCTGAGTACAAGCATGTGCCCAAGTCGGCCGCGAAGTTGCTCTTGCGAGTCCTCGAGACGTGGGGCAGAGACTCCGTCGAGATGCACGGACGGCGGTCTGACTATCGGTCGGCGCAGCGAAGCACTGCGGCGCTGAACTTCGCTGACAAGGCGATTCAGGAGACCGGCACCCAAGGTGGAGAGCCGCACGCTCGCGTCCTTGAGATGATTGGTGTTTCCAACGTTCCGTTCCAGTTCGTAGACAGCAACGTGCTGACGTTTCGAGGGAATCTACTTCCCTCTTCCTCCCAGAGTATCTACCCGGAGGGAGGCATCCATTTCGTGCAACCGTCTAGTGTGGACGAATCGATTTTCTTCCTTTCGGAAAAGGGAGTCTGGAGGTTGCCGACCACCTCAACCTCGTACGGTGCTGGTTCGGTCAGTCGTGTTGCTGGCCCCTTCCACGATGCGCGAGCTTTCACGATCGTGGACATGAGCAAGTACGGTCGCCAAGGGAGGTTCCTTCTAGTGGCCGAAGCCGATGACATGAGCAAGTACAGCCTGCAAACTGTCAGTTTAGACTCGTATGAACCGCCTTTCGGTATCCGTTACATGACTGAAATTCTTAGCCTTGCTGCGGATCCGTCACGGCCTTACGTTTACTTTTCAACGGAGTATGGGATCTCCAAGATGTATCTCCCCTCTTCCGGAACTGGCTCAGTAGTCCCTCTCATTGCTGATGCGTCGGCGATCGGATCGGTGCAAGCCAGCGTCCCCGGATCGGTTCAATCTAGCATCTACGGTGATGCGGGTTTCAATGAGTTTCGCGTGAGCCAGCATGCCTTCTCCGCTGACGGCCAGTTCATGTACGTTGCGGGCACTTTCGAAGACGCTGTATACCGCGTTTGGATTGCAAGCGGAGAGGTGGAGAATATCGGGAGTGGTTATGTTGATGTGGACGTGAACGGCCCCTATGGATTAGCGTTAACGTCGGACGGTTGTAACCTGTTCGTGTCAGAGTATGTGACAGGGAGGATCACGCTAATCACCTTCGAACGCAGCGGTGGCCTCGTGAGGAGCATCCGAACACTCGCAGGTAGGAGCAGCGGTCGCTATACGGAATCGTCCATTGATCTTTTCGGTTTGGCGATCTCCCCAGATGACTCGTATCTATACGTCGGAGCGTACGAGGCGATCTACAAGTTCGAAATAGACACTTGGGACTTGCCCTCCTGCTCTCCTATCTCATCTTCTTCGCCTCCATCCGTTCCTCCTACGATCAGACCCATCATTTCTACTAGCTCTCCCCCGCCCGTAATCTCTGTGCCGCAACCTAGCGGTAACACCTTTCCTGGTTCAACCGCCACTCCTACCCGTAGTTCTACTACGCCGCTCCCTCCCGACCCTCCTTCCCCTATTTCTTTTAGCTATCCACCGCCCTCCACGTCTACGCCGCCGCCACCCTCCACCTCTACGCCGCTACCGCAGTTTATCTCAAATTCGTCCTCTGCTAAGAAGCAAACCGATCTCACACCCGTTGTCATCGCTCTCGGCGTCGTTTTGCCCGTCGTAGGAGCCGCGCTCGGTGTATTACTGGTCTGGTGTCTATGCGGCATACAGCGGCGGCGGCGGCGAGAGGCAGAGTCACGAGCAATCGATAGGCCCGTGCCGTCCATCGATACCATAGATGCCCGGGCTCAATCGCAACAGATTGAGCCAGTGGCTTTCATAAACAATCCGACGGGTGCGGGGAACTGGTGGCAAGGACCAGCCGGAGGAGGGACGTTGGCAAATAATCGTCTTGACGCTGTTGTTGTTGCGTAGTGTTCGCTGTCCTCAATCAGGCTCCCATCGCGGATCATCGTGATGGAGACGGTTTGTTCAACGCCCAGTACTGCTCAGTAGGTGATGGGGAGAAGGGGGGGCAGGAGTGATGTCATCCATCAATGAAGCGGATGTTAAGGCTTAGGACAACGAAATCTGCATTTTAGACATGTGGAGTGAGCATCATACGGTTTGGTGAAGTACTTTCGAGGTGAGGTGGAGGTCTGCTTTGATTCACATGGCTTACCAATCGAGGGTACGAGTAGGATTACGTGTTTTTGCGATTTTCTAAGTGCGGGATCCGCACGTTTTAGAGCGCCACGTGAGGGTTTTCGCCACTGAAAAGTGCCAAAAGGTAGTTATGTAGGGGATACGCTAGCAAATGTAGGTCATTCAACAGTCGTTAATGTCCACATGGTCGATTGATGTGTGTGTGTGTGTGTGTGTGTGTGTGTGTGTGTGTGTGTGTGTGTGTGTGTGTGTGTGTGTGTGTGTGTGTGAG